TGAAATAATGTGTTTTTTGATTTTTTTTAGTTTTTTTGGTTTTGTTTTTTTTGGTTGTGTCTTTTTGGATTGGGTTTTATAGGTTTGTTAAAGGAAAGGGGCTGGTGTTTCTTAGGGTTTGAATTACGACAACGCCCCTAAGCGCCAGAGTTGATAGTGATGTCGTGGAGGAGGCGGACCTGAACTGCGCAAAACGCAGTGGTAGAGTTCGGCCCCCGAACCTATATATGTATCTGACTACTTATAGAGGTGTATGTGTATGTGTATACCTATATACATACACACGCACATATATATATATATGTACATATGCATGTAGGTATGTATGCATGTATGTCTGTAGGTAGGTATATATGTATGATGCATCGTATATGAGTCACAGTGAACCTGGCAGACCGGAGCGGGAGGGCATAGACACGCATAGGAAGCTGGCGCAGCTTTGATGCACGGAATGTCGACGGCTAGCAGCTTCTGGAATAGTGTATGATGGTGTATGCAAAGTTACATGGGAGTAGGGCTACAATGGTAGCATGCACCAGCTACCAAGACACCTTGTAGTCCAGTAAACACAATACAACACCATGTCTTTTTTCCTCACATTTTGCTGTTTAGTGAAGTTTAGTGCTTAGATTTGTTGCCTTGTGGCCAAAAGTTACGTTCACGGCGCTGTCGGACCGAGGTATGCCATGCACAATGTGCCTGACTGGATGACAGCCAGCATTTATAGCCACTTTGCAAACTCATTCAGTGTTCTTGCATAGTTGTGGGTCAATGTTGTCGCGCCGAGCATTGGTCGCCGTCAGGTGCAGGCGGACCACCAGAATCACTGGCCCGCCAGGCGCCGCCGTCAATCCGGAAGCTGGAGTGGGATGCCGAGCGAATGCGCAGCCGGAGCCACCAGCCGCAGTACGGTGGCAGCGGGGTGGCCTGACCAAATGCAGAAGTTTCTCCACTTTGCGTCTCACGTTCGAAACGATGTTCTGCCGGATCGGTACTTCTTGTTTTTTGGGGAGTTTGAGACGAGCAGCGACTGGAGAGCATCCGGTGTTCTCCCCTTTCGAAGAAAACACCACCAACAGGAATGATAACAGAAATCAACCATGGTCATCATCCAACCATGTGCAATGCATTATCAATATCATTCTCACAGTTTGAGGTCGACTTTGAGCAGTGGCTGGCATTCGCTGAAAGCATGAGGACGGCGATGTGTCAAGCACTTCCTGTGAAAACAATTCCCTTTTCCGATAGTTCTGCTCCCTTGGCAATGCACGCCCTCATGGCAAAGCCACAAGGGCAGGAATGCAGTTCAGGCAGCAGCAGCTCGAAAAAATAGCGCACTGCCAGCTGCCTTGTGGCATGTGTCTTCATCTCGACATCGTGCCGCCAGTTAAAGCCAGACTGCAATCGCAGACTTCAGGTCACGATGCTGGGTTTGTTGGCTCCTCTACTGCTCAGAGGCGAGACCAGCGGAACGGATCAGCTGCAAGCTGGTGTGCTAGCAGCTGCCAGCAGGCTTGAATAGAGCTCCACATCGTTGTGTTTGCACAGGTGCCGGCCTCTCGCCGGCGGCGGCTGCGGTACTGCTCCTACCTACAATAATGGTATTTCGGAATGATGAGCCGACTGTCTTCTGTTCATCAGTGCCACGATGCGCAGCTCCAGTTGCGTGGGGAACGAATAGTCAAGCATTCAGCCGCTGTCGAAGGTTTCTGCCTGTTCGCTGGTTTTGTATGCCAGCTTTGCTTGGATCGCTCGGTGCTCAGCTTGCACAGCCAGGGTTCTTCTTGGAAGCTGTTTGAAGATATTGAAAGCAAGACTGGACGAGAAAACACTCTGACTGGCAGCATATTGAAACATTGAGCTCAGCTGCGAGGTGTGGTGGAACCATTTGCTGGGTGGGTCCAGGCAGCGCCTTTTCGACCAGCTAGAAGAGCACCTTGAATAGTGACCCAGAGAGGACTTGTTGGAATAAGCAAAGATTCTCGATCTCAGTAGAGACCTGGGCTTTCCTGCAGGCGATGGGCGCAGCTTAGCTCGCGACTGACGAGCCAGCTAGCCGATCAGGCGGATGTGACCGCAGCGGCACTCAGAGACTGGAGAGCAAGCAAGAACTTTTGCAGTGCCCAGTCTCTATCTTGTGGGACAGCCATTCGTCAAGGCCGGCATTGCCTATCTCACCCGTGACTGGGCAGAGATCGCGCGACGATCCCACGCAGCACTGGATCAGGCCTGACTGCGAAAGCGCCTGGTGCCTGACAATCCTGCCAAGTTGTGATGCCACTGACGCCTGAGCAGCAGTGATGCCCCCCAAAGCGTCCCAGAGCAGGAGTTCTGCGGAAGCTGGCGCACGAGCCTTCACGAGCTTGCATCAAAGCTGACCGACATTTGGTCCGCTTCCGAGCCTTGTGGATGCAGGCTTACGTATCAGATTTGCTTCTATTGGCAGTAGCTTGTTATACTGTTATACTGTACTATAGCACATTCTAGTCTGTTCTTCTTCCATAATGGTCTGTTATATTCTATTATACTCAATCGTGTTCCATTTTTAGAGATAAAGATTAGATCAGCAAACATTACGCTATATGACATAGGTTCGGTGAGATCAGATGGGACTAGGTTTTGCTAATATACAGTATTATAGTTCTCTATACCGTATTCTGCTATGCAATGTTATTTCAATGCGACATTTTATTACACTATGAATGCTGTATGCCATGCGGGCCAAGCGGATTCGGTCAGGTCTGACATCCGGAATGCCTCCTTGTGTTCTGGTTTGGACGGTGTTCGGAACTCAGTGTTTCCTTGTGCTGGCCAGGATAATATGATTACTATGATCGTTCCAATTACTGTTCTTTTCATAATCTGTTATGTTATTACTCTCTTATTGTTAGTTTCTTGTATTGCTCCGTTAAGAATATGATCAGTATATCTAAAATATGCACTGTTGGTATGTTGCTGTTAGCACTACTATAACTCTTGTGTGTTCCATTGGATGCAGTTTTTCGATTTTGGCCCCGTGTCAGGCCAGCCCTCGAGTGAAGTCCGCACGGTCCTCTACGGTGCCTCGGGCGGCTTGCATGCAGAAAGTATAAGACAGTATTGTGTTATGTTATAGTATGTGATACTCGATTACATTGTAGAATACAACCTCATTACGATGTAACATACTACAGCACCATACGATATGATATACGTAGTATAGTGTAAGTACTTAGCATAGTGTAAGACATTAAAAATGCAATATAATAACATAGCACAATGTTAGACAATATGACATATTATGCCATCCAATAGTATGCTATGATTGGTTGTATCACATATTATCGTATAGAATTTCTTCTAATGTAATATGATATGGTATATAAGATAAGATAAGATGAGACACACACACATGATATTATATGCCACAATGTCATTTATTATGACATAACAGACTATACAGAGTACCCCAGGCTGCTCTGGACCACGACGCAGGGTACCTGTACCAGGACACTTCTGTCACCCGTGGTGAAAAAGGGCCGGTCCTTCATGTCCATGTAGTGGTACGTAGTAGTAGTAACCTAGTCCTAGACTGAAGTTTGACAGCAGACACGTCATGTTCCCCATCACCACCACAGGTAGTATGGACATTTGTGCCAGAAGGATCGGGGTCAGCAAGCCGTGACTCGAGCTGGCAGTGCTCCATTAGGAGGCCATGCTTCTCAAATGGGAGTTTCCGAAAATAAGGGGTACCTTATTTTGGGGTCCTTATATTTAATGAGGATCCTTGTAACCATTGTATTTAGGGTACTCTTTTCGGGTCCCCTATTTCCGGAAACCCCCAAATGTG